TTTCTGTATCGTTGCACCCCTAATATATATTATTTACATTTATTTATTCATTTTTAATTACCCGTTTTGCTAGAATTTGTACTGGAAGGTTGAGCTGTTTATTCAAGTATTGACCTGTGCAGCTGGGTGTTGACACTGCATTGTACTGCTGTTTGTCTTTTTCTTTGTTAGCTCTTCATTGGATTTGGCTTTCCTTACGAAGGCCCCGCCCCATTGGAAGCCATAGCCAATGGCTGCATTTTTCTTCAACCCAAGTTTAATCCCCCGCACAGCTCCCTCAATCATGAGTTCTTCAGAGGGAAGCCCACCTCCAGGAAGGTAAAGACACAGCAAGAATCACACTAACACAATTTATATGTATGTGGACACTAACTAAAATCCTCGACAGGTCCTAAGAATAAAGAAATACACAACCTAAGTTGAGCAATAATTATGTCATATTACATCATGTTGTTTCATTAACCAAAAAACAAGCCAAAATACAGAAACAGTATGTAAAAAACTGTGTGCAACTAATGACCTGAGAGCTTCCAAAGCAACAATAATCTGAAATATTTGTCTTCTRTATGACATTAAACTCAAATTGTTGCAGAAAGGTTTTAGTCAGTTCTTACTGGTGCTCATGGCATCATTATCTTGTTGGGCAATTGGACAGATTGTCTTATATTTGACTCCAATGTGTTGGTATACAGGGGGTTATGATCTGCAAGGTGTCCAGGTCCTGTAGCAACAAAACAAGCTCAAATCATTAAACCGTCACCACCATGCTTTACAGTTGCAATGCAAAGTYTGTGCTGATATGCTGTCTGAACACTGTTTATTTTGGCCAAACATCTTTTACTTGCGCCTATTTTGTAAAAGACTTTGTTCCAGAAGTTTTCCAGATTCTTCTTTTTTTTTCTCCCAGTTGCAACTTTGCAAATTTAGTCTGTGCTGACATTTTCTTTTTTGAGTGAGGAGGGTTTTTGTTGGTAGCCTTTTACAACCCTCACTTGTTCGTTCATTGAACTTTAGCATTTATCTCATAAAATGAGGCTTGTAGAAGCTCTACTGAAGCACATTCTTTAAAAACAGATATCTACAGCATAAAAACACCAGAATTTTATTTCTAAAGTCTATATCTKCTACTGCCTAACAGCAGTTAAAACTAGTGATGGCAAACAGGCAAGGGTCATTAATCTTCATGAAAAAACCCATATATTTGTAAATTATTACTGTCCGATGGTAAAAATTAACTGAGATGTTTTGTGCTGCTGTAGAAATATCATGTTTTTCCATTCACCTCATCATTTCTTTAGTTTTTTTTCCCTCACAGTTTATTCAGCTTCATTTCTCCTTATATATTCACCTATAAAACACCAGTGGCCTTCATTATTTCAAAACTGTAGTATTGAACAGCTGCATGCAGACTGATGCTATGTATTCACACTGCCATGCACAATACAAGAGGCTGTGTAGACATGAAAATCTGTCAGTGTTCCTACTTTTCAACCTATCCCACACTGCTCGCTTGTTTCAAAAWTTTCGCATGAGATTTTCCCTTGACTGCTGATCAGAACTGGAGGACGTGACAGTCATGATTTGAGCTTTTTTTTTCTTTCACATTTTTCCCTATACTATGCATGRCTCCACTTTTGGTTTAACTTGCTGAGATTCACACTTGTGGGGAATTTTGGCAACTGTCTTGACTGATCTTCACATTTAAATTTCAAATTTTCTCTTTTACTGTGGGCTGTATGGACTCCACATTTATTAAAAATAGCTACATAGCTCTTCCAAACATAACTTCAGTTGCTTTGCTGCAATTTTAAACATTTTTTACCTCATCTAATAACACACAACAAAATGCTCTAAACCAGAGGTATTCAATCTACGGCTCGGGGGCCACATATGGGTCTTTGATCCCTCTGCAGCGGCTCTTTGAGGCTTTGACCAACATGAGATCACAATTTTGGGGTTTTCTACAACAGAAAAAATAGCATTTTTTTCTATTAATTTGTTTTTCAAATGTGTGATCAATGCTACTAATTCCAAAAGGTAAACATGTTGATTAGATGTTCTGATGCATCTCAATAATCCAAGTAGAAAATTCTAACAAAGCTGAGTCAGGTCCTCTGGATGAGTTCTTCTTTGTTGAAATGTTTCGTTTCAGAGAAACTGTCCAACGTTAAACAGGGGTCGAGGTCGCTRTCTCCAATTGTCCCCCTCTTCCATTGCTGTTTTTTCAAATATGACGCAAGCCGGATTTACACTACATGCGACTCCGATCCGCTGTGCTACGGTGCGCAGTTCGCAGCTGTACGTTTGCACCCCACTTTATATAGGGTCCGCTCTGCTCCGGTGTGACACACAGAGGAGGGAGCGTGTGCAGGAAGGAGAGTGCGCAATAAATCCAGCAATAAATGTGGAAATTAGAGCAAAAAGTAATTATTTCTGTGAAAGATGAACGCCAAACACAGCTGAAAACACTAGTAGAAAGGCTTTTAATATCTATGGTTGAAACTATATCGCTGTTGTCWTTTTGAAACTTCTGATTTCRAAATAAAATCCACGCGTATCGTGTGTGTACACATGCTTCATGCTACATGTTGCCATCTGCTTCCCAAACACAACCATACATTCTGACAGCATTTGTGTACAAATTTATCCATATATTGATTAATATAGCTGGGATTTAGACAAAATTATTCCACTTTATGGTGTCTTATTTTGAAAATACGGATGTTGTGCTTGTTTCTTTTCCTGTTGATGTGATGTGATCTCTGTAGCTTGACTCCGGAGCAGATCTGGTGTCCAGCAAAAATAGGATCCGATCTAATTTTGGCAGATTGCCGTCCGCTCAGCGCCGCTCAGTGCCGCTGTGCGGAGCCAGTGTAAATACTCTCATTGATTATAATGGTTGCGTATTTACTGCGGAGGTCGGACAGCAGCGGAGCGGAGCTGCATCTAGTATAAATCTGGCATTAACCCTCTGTGAACAACAAGTGGCCATCAGGGCACTAATGATTGGTCTAGGCTAATGGGCCATTTTTTCCATAAGAACAACATGTTTCAGGTGTCACCGGCAAACTGATTGATCCACCATGCAAAGGTACTGAGTTTACCTGCAACTCCTCAGACTCAAGTCTCTTGGAGAAGAGACAAAATGTTTCAACAAAGAAGAACCMGTCCACAGGACCTGTCTCATCCATGTTAGATGTTAATTATAACATGCTAGTAGCTAGTTGGCTACTTCAATAATCCAATTTCCAGCCTTAAACTATGATATACTTTATGATTTCTCTCAAATCCATCAGGATTAACTTTAAAGACCTTTAAAACTAGATTAGATAATAATAAGAATTACTAATGCATAGTTCAGGTGTAATTTTTATTAAATTTTGWATAAATTATGATTTATTGTTTTACTTTTTATTTTCCATCTTTTTTTGGACATGAAAAGGAAAAAACAATAAATTTAATAAAACAATCAAAGAAATTTATTGGGATTTGTTTACTTACTCATTTTTAAAAGCATCACACATTCTGTAGTTTTTCTTAGGTGAAACATTATATATTTTTATAAGCTATTGTGTGAATATTTTTGGGATTAAAATGCTGATTTTATGTACAGACTGGTCTGAATGGCTAGACAATATGGTCACTCAGAGAAGGACATACATATACATGGATACATGCCTGAAAACGTTTACAACACTTAAAAATTTAAACACGAGAACTCCGTTTTCTGTTGTCACAGGTTTCTGGTCACATGATAGGGAGAACTAGCTTGCCTCTACGGAGTGGCTAGAATCTGAAGAAATTGTTGATAAGCAGCTGAAACTTCCTGCCTGGAGCGATCCACGACCGATTAAATGGCWGAGGCTATTAGCCTAGCCGATGGGTAGTCGTATGGCTTTGGTTCTTACATTAACATTTAAGTCATAATTCTGTATTTGTTGCCTTGTCCTTTACACATATCGGAGTAACTGAACACGCTATAACTTTCACATACATTGGAATAAATTAATAGGTACATATCACATTTTTTCAATATTGTAATCTATTGTAGGATGAGTAGAAACTGTCCCAGTTTTCCCAGTATTTTTCCACTCTATGATGTTGTAAAATGAGGTTATATGTCATAAGCTCCATTGTTCTTATGTGTTCAATTGTCTGTATCAAAACGGCCACCGAGGGAGAGTCTTTTATGAGTCAACATTTTTTATGTTTTTTTTTTTGCAACAACAATAATAATTCTGAGTAGGTATACATCACTTTGATATAGTCCCTTTGGGGGGACACTAAGAAGCTATGTAGAAAATGACAATTCCATTCAAATATCCAATATGTAGTAGATTAAAATAAAAAAATTAAGAAATTAAAATCACTTTTATCCAAAAAAAAAAACCTAAATAAAATTAACTGTTTATATCAGGACATGACCAGAATATGTGAGTTTGGTCTAAATTATAGAGAATATTTTTCTTGTTTGCATAAATATGGTCTTTTCTTTTGTCCTAAAGTATGTGCCAAACTCAAGGCCCGCAGGTGACTTCTGTTAACTACATCTCTCATAATGCATGTTGATTTTGCATGGGAATGCCCTGTCAGAAAATACCCTCAAAAACAAATGTGTTGAATTTACTTAGCCAAGTTGTGTCAAGTTGTTCCACTCAGCTGAGTTTAGTAAATGTAAACCAACTTTCTTTCATTTTCTTTAAAAGTAAATGTGAAAGTTGCTTTAACTGGAACAGAGTTCTATCTGTCTTAAAGGGGCCCGTCACAGGCCTGAGGTCAAAGACAGTTATCTTGTTTATTCCACTTATTCCACTCTATAAGTTCAGTACCATTTGAGTTGACCACTACATACTCAACTCAGTTGAGTGGAACCACAACTCAACAGTGAGTAAAATTCTCTTACTTTTACTTTTAATAGTATTTCTGTAGTATTTATTTCACATTTATTCAGTCATACACGTAGAGGAAATGTTAAATCACTAATTCTGTGCAGGAAATACCACGTAGAGCTCAGTTATTTTTGTTAGCGGTGCTCAGCCGTAGCAATGAGATGAGGAACGTGATGTTTTGTGTTTAGTTGAAGGTAAACATGAAGCTTATGCCCAAATTCAAACTTGAAGATTCTCTCCACCTCACCCCATCCAATCACAGCGTCACGCTCCAGCTGCAGTTAATCAGCGTCAGATCCTCGCCTCACCGTACCCAGTCAACTCACAGGAATCCAGGTCTAGAGGCCCAGCACCCAAGGATCAGTCTGCCCTCCAGATATGTTCAACCCACCTCCACCCCGCCTCCACCTTCATCAAACTCTTCCTGGCTACCTCTTCCCTCTAGCCTCCACACCACCACCAGTGTCCAAGCCCTGGGGGGTGGGGGTGGGGTGGGGGACACACGTTATTCCTAAAACCTAAGCTGATTGCTAGCTCACAGCAGTTCGCTGCACCCACGTCTTCTGCCGGGGCTCGAGCATAGTTATAACGTTTTGGGGCTCCAGATGCATTTTGTTAGTGAGCCTAGGAGCAGAAATGGCCCTTTTGATTGTAAAGGAAGGAGACCCCTGGTCTACTCTAAACCAACAAACATCCAAAAACCTTTTTGCAGATGATCAGTTGTTTAATGCATTTCATTAGCAGTGCCGACCTGCTGATTACCATTTAGGTTATTGAGTTGTTGCCTGTCTGTGGTACACAAAGTATTKAAACAATTTTAAAACCCATTTACACAATCTTATCTTGATTTAAACTACTGTGATTTTGAATGGATCCCATTTCTGTCACCCTCAGGTGTCCTCGCAGCATCCGTATGCTGAGCAGCATGTTGGCAGGCCGCATGTCATCACCATCGACTTCAATAACACTGAAGAGTTTGACGCAGCCATTCGTGAGATCATGAGGAT